CAACCATCAGTGAGTGTGAAATGATGCCTTGTACAGGCAATGCTATCTGCAACTAGATATGGGAGTCATTAAATCTCCTTTTGGAGATTTGGAGACATGGGAGTCAGAAGCTCACATCCTGCAGTGACTGGCCACAGAGGGGAGACCTGGACCACACATTCACAGAGGGTGACATATAACACGGCCAGATCTTCCCCGGCAGGTAAGAGCAACTTTGCTTTTATGCGCGGTTTGTGTTTGAAAGAGACCAAAATATGTTCCTTGTGCTTCCATCTTGAGTTTGATGCTTTTTCTGTGACTTTGATGCAGTTATTCCAGGGTCCAGCCACTGCTGCTGGTCCTGAGCAGGTATAACTCCGCCTCTTAGCCGGCCTCGCTAGCTTAGCGGCAATTTGGTGCTGTCTGCGCACAAGTGTAGGGTTTTGAGCTGTTATCAGACATGCCGGGCAGACACACACCTGCAGGGAAGGCAGGCAGTCGAGCTTGCCTCTGCCTGCCAAAGGCGTATGGGCAGAGCTGGGAGCATCTCAGGCCAGCAGGCAACAGGGGAAGTGCCAGCCTGAGATGCTGGTCGCGTTCTCCTGTGCCAGGAGCTGGCGGGTATCCAGACAGCTAACAGCCCTTAGGTCCCACAGGGAACTGTGGTGGCAAGAGCCTGTGGGTGAATAAGGAAACAAGACCAGTTTTGGATGGCTCTTCTAGACGGAAGTAGAGTCTATGTGGTAAGCATGAAAAAGTGGAGACTGGTGGAGAAAACTCAGCAAGCCTGGGATGATGTCAGCGATATCTCCATGGAAACCTAGGGATGAGGCAAGCAAGGACAGCATCCTGGTGACTACTGGGTGGCGTGTGCTTGCTGCAGTGTCACCTGGAGCTTGGTGGGCCCAGGTGTCCCTCCCCCCACCTGCCCTCTGTTTTGTGAAGGGTAGCGCAAGTCCCTGCACCAACTCAGGCTTCCTCTCTCTACGTGCAGCTGTACAAGGGGCTGAATAACATCAAATCCCAGACTCGGCCTACCCAACGTGGGAGGGATTTTAGCCTTGACCAAGAGAAGCACACAATGGCCAAACTAGGCATGGTTTACTCATCTTAGGAGAGACCAGAGCCTTTGCAGCCGGAAGTGACCTCTGACTACCCAAGGATGGAAGAGGCAGGACACCAGTGCGGGAGAAAACCTGAGAAAGCCCCACACAATGCCAGGCCCTTTAGATATAAGCAATGTGAGCTGGGGACCAAATCTAGCTCTGAGTTTCTCATCCTGTCTTCATCCATCCTTAGGAGGAGAGGCTGGGGCAAGGATGGGGAGCGGGGAGAAGCACTCAACGTGGCACTCCAGGGTAGCTGGCCGTGCACACACCTCCCCAGCTTTCCCTCAGCAGCCAGAGCCCGTCGTGCTTTGCAGTGCTCTGGCACAGGCAGGGGGCCAGGGTTGTTTTGGGAAGCTGCCTAATTTGCCTGTGCCTCAAGCTGGCCTGGCTGGATGCTCTCAGCTCCGACAC